GGAAGGGGGTGGAGGGGAGGACACAGACTTCTACAAATCTACTATGTGCTGATGTAAGCAGATTAATATCACATATTGTGTGGAATCCGATATGCTGACTTGCACAGAGGTTATAAATTTAAAAAATAAGAACCTCACTCATGTACACAAATCTACACTGTGAGAACATAATATTCTTTTCAAACAAACAAAAAGAGGTTGAAGGTATTAAATCACAGAATGTGTTGCATTGCAATTATATATATATATATATATACTTCTAATTTGGCAGTGTTATTTTAATTCTATGTGCTGTCTTTATTTTGCTAGCATGTAGGTACTTGCTGGAGTGCAGAAATCTGTTTTTTAATTCAGCAAGTGGACACAATTTTTTAAATTGATTTATTACATCATTTCTGTGTTACAGACAAGTCAACATTCACGAATATACAGTTGTTTATTTACTGTCAAGATCCGTCAACAAGTAGGACGTATTTAAAACTAATCAGGCATTAGCTGCTGTTCCCTCCCACATAGTTTAGTGGGTTGCCAGTATTTGCACATTTAAAAAAGTTATGAGGAATAGCAGAGAACAAGACTGTCAGGTTTTTTAGACTTATTCATTCATAACCCAGTATTACCTTCCGACTGTTTTCCCTGTGACTGCTAACAAATATGCTTCAGTATTATAACATTGTACAGATAATTTTCCTGTTTGTTTGAATTCTAAGTGGGATATATGGCTGCAAGCTTCGGCTATAGAGAAGGGTAGCTAACCTCACACCCAACTCTCTATCTTTACTGAGCTTACTAGCACCTAATCGAGGTTTAGGAAAGTGTCTACCGGGAATTGGAACCAGACCACTTACGTGGTTGGAGAGCATTGAAACATCGATGCACATGTAGATACTGTATGGTATTCATTATTTGTTGAAGCTAGATTATATGAATCTAATACATAATTCACTTTTCAGTGTGAGTGGACTGAATATTCAGATAAATGAACATGCATACATACATTGTGCGTCGGTGGCACAGAGGTTAGGACGCTCGCCGACTGTGCACATGGTCCGTGGTTCGATCCCCGGCCGATGCACTCCTTTATCTCGGTAAGCCAGTAGTGAGACTGATAAAGAGGAAAGGTTGGGCATGAAGCTAGCAACCTCGTCCTGTAAAAAAATTAACACTGCTACAGAAACTTCAAGCCACTAGCTTGGAGTCCTATGTTCCACCGGGAACGTAAAGGAGTATATATATATATACATATAAAAAGAGTTAGCTGATGCGTGAATCCCCGTCCTCAGTGTTATATTCATCATCAGTTTTAAAGAATACAGATAACATGACCGGATGAGTGGAAGGACAACTGCAAGACTGTTGAGTTGGAGGTGTTCTTCAAAGTAACATTTTCGATCCATTTCTAGTGCAGATTTGATACCCAGTAAGCATTCAAGCCGACAAAAGATATTCCGAATTGGAAATCCTACTTTGGAAGATACTCTTATATCTCAGTCTGTAAATAACATTCTCCGTTTCATCTGTGATATTTTCTTAAGTGAAAATAAACCTTTTCATCAATTGATTAAGTTCTCAGGTCAGTAAGTGGCGATTTCTTATTTACTATTTCCAGGTTTTAGTTAATTAATATTCTTTAGGCAGTGATTTGAGTTGCATCACAGAAATTGATCAAATTACGGACAATAATCTCTGGGCTCTGACCCTCTGGTATGCCAATGAATAGTTCCGTTAGATGCATGTTAATCTCCAACTTGATACTATTGTGGTTCACTCATTCAGTAGTAAGAACCCCGAATGGTTGATATAAATTAAACGTCAGCACTCATGACTGATTCTAAATGTATCAGAAACTGTCGATCAGTTAACTCAGAGTATTCGAGTTAACTGAATAGCATCTATTTTAGTTGGTAATGAATCCAGTGTGCATTTCGCCCCCACTTGCGGCTCTTCAACTAGGCCTGCCTACATTCCCACTGAGTCTCGAACTCAGCACCCATCATTTCAAACATAATCAGTCAGCAGGAAATGAGAAATCGACCTAAAAACAAAATATATCCCGTTTACCCTAAATTTCTTTATCTTCCATCAAGAGGTAAGAAATTAGGTGATTTTCTGTCTATTCAATAATCAATCTTTGAATGTTTTGTCTTAGATTCAGTGAAGCCATTCTGAACTTGCATTTTGTTTAGTATTCACAGTTAACACTGTTAAATAATATAGTATAACAATCAGGTCTTTTTAAAAAAAATGAGCCCTTAATTGTAGTAATGATGGAATAAATACTGAAATAAAACAAATGTTAAGCACAGAAAAAACAATTTCTTGTATTAAGTATGCGCGTACATGGTCTAGTGAATTCCTTATTTATTTTGTTGTACTAATTAGTTAATTAACTTTTAGAGGGAGACAGGGAGAAAGAGAACGGTAACATTGATCAATGTTTCAAATGTTGAAACTAAACTTTGAGGCCACAAGAGAGGAGATGTTCGCATATGCATTCAGCATAAAAACAAAAGTAGCATATTATAATTAGTTCACTATATACATGTAATCTTCTAACTGAGACATTGATCATGGATATAATTAAAAATGTGAATATTAGAATATTTAACCATTTGTGTTTTAATGACCTAGATTATTTTATATTTCGTATTAAAGATTCGGCGCAACGTCTGTTTCAAAATCACGAAGAGGTATTAAAATGTGAAAAGACACAGAATAACTGTACTCAGAAATACAGAAAGTGATTGAAAATGTTTAACTGCTAATTACATTCTAACTACACGTTGAAAATCAACGGTGAACTTCTGGATAGCTTTTTTCGCGAAGTGATATAATCTGGAAGAACTCTTGAAGACCAAGGAGTATAAAAGTAGTAGATTTATGTTGATTATGAAATTTTCTGTACCATATATCCATAACTCTGTAGTTGATTGAGTATAGGCCATCAGCTTTTCAGACAATAAACTTGCCATTCAGTTAATCAGTGAGTAACTTTCACCCTTCGGTTCACAAGTATAATAGTTTAACGTCACGTTACTACCCATTAGTGACTAATTCCGAAACATACTTCTGAAGTACAAATGAGAGACCTTGTTATGTAGGATTTACCAGGTCGGAGGTGAGAACACTTAACTATGAAATTAGAATCCCCAGCTTTCAAACTGTGAATGAGCAGAAGTCGGAAATATGAGTAACTGAAGTATAATGCTCTTACAATAAAACTTGATAGCAATGAGACAAATCTTTTGCAAGAACTGTGAATATACCGTGGACTTTTAATAGTTCTCTAACTGATGTTAATCCGCGGAGAAACGAACCTTAAGAATAATTAGATACCTACAAGCCTAAGAAGTTTGCAGGTATTATTGAAATTTAGTGTATAATCGTCACATAATCAGTCGTTAAATGAGTGGGAATATTTTTAACACTGTGGAACTGTATGACTATCTACGAATCCCCTGTATGCCATAGCTGAATAAAAACTGCATGACTTATGGGTCAAGTTCAGTTATAAAAAAGGGAAAAGTTTTATCGTCTGTACAGGAAAATGATTCCGGTAGATGGATCAGGAGTCTTATGGGGACAGAAATGCGCCGAAAGTTATTTTTGAAAACAAAATTCTTGTTCCTATTAAAATGAAGTTGATGCTATTGGAGGATGGTGGCTAGCAGTGGAATCCAGGATGCGTATTTCGTCCTATTTGAGACTCGTCAGCTGGATGTGCCTGCATTTCTCAGTGAGTGATGATGTTCCCACTGAGGCTTGAACCCAGAGCCCATAGTTTCAAACGCCAAAGCGTTATCCACTAGACCACTTGGGCCACGAGAGCCACCTCTTATGCAACGGGTCATATTAATTATTGAATTGAATTTTTGATTTTCCCGTCGATTGATTGCGCATCCTGAATTCCACTGCTAGCCACCATCCACCAATTGTATACTAATTAAATGCCCAGACATCGTCGAAGCATCTATCTGCACAAGAAGCCGACATGTCAACCTGAGACCGAGCACTTCAGTCCAATCAATCGACGGGAAAATCAAAAATTCAATTCAATAATGAAGTTGATGCTCTTGAAACAAACAAAGCTTAAAATGAACTTATAGTTTTCCTAGATGTCTTACAGTAAATGTCTGATTTAACTATACCTTCAAATAAACTTCCCTAAATTTTTGGGGAAATTTCGTTCAATAACTTTTATTCGTTTAAACAACTAGTTCCTTATATCGTTTTCTTCGAGTATTTGTTCTTACCATTAATGAGGTATTCGCATTTTTGCTAACCCCTCATAAATTTCACTAGTAGGTAATATGACAATGAAAAGGCGTTCATACCTTTGCAGAATTAGGTGTCAAATCCATTTGCCTGCAGGATATTTAGTATTCCCTAAAATACGTTGAACCTAGGCATTCACCATTACTGAAGTAGTTTGAAGCAGAAATGCAAGCGAAAAAGTGTGACATTACAAAATATTGATAATTATTTAAACATACATAAATCAGTTTAAACAGTATTGTGATTAAAAAAGCTTCAGAAGGGACTTAAATTTGCATATACCTCTACTTAGGAAATTTCCCTTTAAGATTATTCTAACTTAGAAAGAATGTTTTTGAGGTAGATAATTATGTGTCGAAAATTTCGTATGAAGCGTATAAATAACTATTTCAATTCTAAATATGTAGCTCTGCAATCGCTTATCTTCACCACTGACTGGCATGCAGTCACAGAGAAATTTAAGATCACTGACTACATTTCTTAGTGCTATTTTGATGCGATGCGAATAACACTAAGTTAACCTGAAGGTATCGTCGAAGCATTCGAAATAGGAGCTAACATTTCAGCCATGACCAATTATTTCGTTATAGTAAAATTAATCAGCAGGAAATTCAAACTGGTTTCATTCAATAAGTGACATCACTTCTGTTGACGGTTATATAAGACAGTTAACAAATATTAGTGCAATTTTTAAAAGAATAACTTTTATCAAGACTTGCACTTACACTTTTGCATGTCATCATTCAATGAAGTCGATAAATTCAATCCAACTTGTGTACGCAATAAATCTGTATCAGGATGCTTCAAGTATTTTTGTGAAGGTATATCTATAATGTTTATACAAGTACTATTAGTATTATTATCAGCGTTGTAGTTACTTGGAGATTGAAACAAAGAAGAGTTATACAGCTTAGAACCATGCACTGTGGTACTGTTATTTATTGATGAAGTTGAAGTATCTTCTGCCAAGTTGTACTTAGGTCTTTTATTAACTGATAAGTCTATAGCTTCTTGTTGTTGATACTGAGGGCTGTGTTGATGTTGCAGTTGTTGTTGTTGTTGTTGTTGACAGAGATTACGATTATTCATTTCCAGTGGATGATTCGACAACAGCTTTGATTTTGTTTGATTTAATGAAGATATTGGATGTGTTGTTGTCTTTTCCAAAGATGATGAAGAAGGATAATCAGTCAAAAGTGTTCCTATTTGGTTAGTACAATGATCTGGAATGTAACGCGTTTCAGATAGTCGTATTTTTGATGACTTGCTCAGCTTTCTTTTATGCAGAATATCAGCTTTATTTTGTTTATAATTAAAACGATTAATTTTAGTATATTTATGATTAAAATTTCTTGATCGATTGTTGTTTGATTGGCTGCTATCTGATGATACTGATATAATATTTTGATGATGGTGACCAGTTCTCGGTTTTCTAGCTCCTCCAGTTGCACCTGGACTTACACTACCTGAGAAGAAGAAGAGAAAGTTGTTAATGGTCATAAATACATTTTAGAAGTTTAGTCTGCTTGAACATGCATTAATGATCCAACAAAAAAAGCGATTAGGTAAAATTAATTTGCAGGTAATGAAGAACAGTGAGTCACTGATTCTACATCCAATTTCAAAACAAATTATGATATGGACTACTTAAGAGTCTTACAGTAAGTAATCTCACTACAGGAAACTACCAATCTTTTATGTGTACTAATAACACTGATGAATTATCCCATCTTAGTTTATTTATAGTATGCACAGGAATATGAGTGTGCCTGTGGCACAGCGGTAGAATGCTCGCCAACCACGGATGTGGTTCGTGGTCCGATCCCTAGTCAACACACTCCTAAACTTCGCTAAACCAGTAATAAGACTGGTAAAGAGGGAAGGTTGGGCATGAGGCTAGCAACCCCATCCAGTAGAAATAAACATCACCGCTACTGAAACTTCAAAGCTGTTGCTTGAAGCCCTATGTTCCATTGGGAACGTAAACGAATAAAAAACAGGAATACCTAAGATTACAAGATAAATTGGAAGTATTTACAGAATTGAAAGCATTAGAAGCCTGATTGTGTTTGCTTGTTCGTTTGGCATTCTGAATTCTACTCTAAAAGCATATCACCCCTCTTGTCGTTATATACGTGTTATGTGTTCTTACAAAGGTTTTCTTAACAGCATGATTCAATGTTATTATTATTCTGATTGGCGTCGTTTCGTTATTGTCGAATAGTATATTTTTACAGACACATGGCAAATAGTTGTATTCAGTAACGGAGAACGCATTAAGATGTAATTAAAGGTCAGTTTTTTCACTAGTGGCTGACAGTGAAATTCAGAACACGCGTTTCGTCCCCCTTGGGACACATCGGTTGAGTCAAGATGCAACCAAAAGTTTATTTGTGTTCACAGTGAAACCTTAAACTGGTACATAAAAGCATTATCCACTGAGTTAATGAGGCAAGATGACCATCTCAAGGAACCTGTGTGCCAACAAAAGTCAATCACTTCATCCCGAATTAACCAGCAACGATAATCGCAAATAAAAACAAATAAATGAAGTGACACTAGTTGTGCAACTGTTTGACTTTTTTTGTTAATAAGCTTATCAAATAACGAATTGACGTTTGAAACTATGGGCTGTATGTTTAGGTCTCAATGAGAATACTACCAATCACGGGTTACTGACAGATTCAGCAGATGACTTCGGAAGAGGAGGAAATTAGTCATCTGGATTTCTACTACTAACGATGATGCAAAGGGAAATAAAAAACATGTTGATAACATGTTCGCTGCTGTTTTGAATCCTACTGTGTCCCACCTTCATATTTCCATTTCTGTCATCTTCGTATTAGTAGGTTCTCGAAATCAGTACTACAAATGGTACATACGAATGTTCACTCCATGCCATTTGCAATTTACACAATTCCAGGTGATTATTTCACCACTGTTTCCTTTGGAAAACTATATTATTCAGGCATGAATATATACAGTCTACTTGATAACATAAATACCGTGAATGCATAACGATAAGTACTACTGATAGATTGAGATGAATAGCTGGACACCATCACATCAGCCAGTAGTGCTTGCTGGCTAGCTAGGAGCGATCTAAACAGTGGGATTAGCTTGACTCCAAATCGCGTGTTTAGATCACTTCGATCTGGTTCGGAAGCACTACTGATTGACATGAGTGGTATTCAACCATTTATCTCAATCAGTCAGTAGTGTGTAACGTCATGGTATTAGAAATTTATTGAATTATTCAGTTAAAAACTTTCTTTATTACAGACTGTGTAAATGGGGACATGTTAAGTTGTATATAAACGTCCAGTGCTCAATAAAACGTCAACGTACAAAAGTTTTAGGTCATAAAAGTGAGCTACATATGCCTTGAAATTTAATTGCTTGAACTATTATCATTATTATTTTATGATGATGGTGATGATGATGATGATGATTGAATTCTAGTTTGTCACTTTTAAAGACAAGGTTGATTGTACATTTTAAAATAAAAGAGGAAAACTAACAAACACACAAGAAGTGAACAATGAATCCATTGATCTGTTATGCGATTGAATAAGTTTATACAATTCCCCGGTATTTAAAGTGGGAGGATCCAGTTAATTATAGGCAAGTCTATAAAAGATAACAGAGTGAAGTACACACAAATCTACTATATACATGCATGCATAAATGACGGTTGAGTGTTCTCATGGAGGGTTTCATACCTCATTAAACACTAGGCGAATAAAAAGTGATATTGTATGGAATGATGACAAGGTTAATTTGGGGGTGAATAAGAAGAAGAGAAAGAAAAGTTCTACCGGATCAAATGGAAAAGAAAGAGTCATCATAAATTTAACAGCGATGGAGTGTGAAATGAAATTTTGTCGGAAATGAAATGTTTCCCTAGCATACAAACTATTATGATGTGACCAAATTAACGCTAAAATTTCATCTTGTCAGTATGCCATTTATATGTTTTAATAGATGGTAGATAGTATTAGTATTAGTTCTTATAATAATAGAGTTGATGACGAAATGAACACTTGTCTGGCTGTTGACATATTATACATGTATGTTATGTGATGAATATAATCATCGAAAAGCTCAGAACTCCTTCATTGTTTAATGCTCTTAATTGATGAGGACTCGAAGTTGATTCGTCCGACAAGCTGTGCCTGACTATACAGTTTTATCCTGAATACAAAGTACCATTTAAAGTAAGCTATTTGAGAATATGATGTACTCTGCTGTATTACGTATTAGATTAGTAGGTGTAAATGGTTTAGAGGTAATAGCTCACGTGTACTGGGGTTTGATCCATGACCGACGCACTCCTAAACCTCGCTAAGCCAGTAATAAAACCGGTGAAGACGGAAGGTTAGGTGTGAGGCTAGCAACTGCACGCCGTAGAAATAAACACCAGTGCTGCCGAAACTTCAGGCTCTATCTTGAAGCCCCATGTTCCTCTAGGAAAGTAAAGGAATGACAAATAGGTGTAACTGATAAAAGGCTTTGTTTATTTCGATTTGATGTGTATTGATACCCATTACAGGGTGTACTTATCTGTTGGGTCAATATTTTGGTAGTTATCTGGACTGCTAGAATGTGATGGAAAAATAGATTTTATTTGATTTTATCAGTTATTTTGACGAAGACTTTCATCGATCCTATTCTCTAATGCTGTGGAACAAAACTGATCATAGCTGAAAATTGTATGCCTACTTATGTAACCGGCCAATAAAACATTATGTCTTGTTCTGTTCATAGTTATCAAGTTATGAGGCTTCCCATTGTTTTGTCAGATTATTTTTTTCCCTCTGATGTCATGCAAGTAACTGTTCATATAGTTATAGTGAATATTTGTGTCTTCAGTTTTAGTCAGGTTTACCCTAGAAATAATATCTTCCCATCAACACTGGAGGCTAGATACCTGTTCACATAACTTTTCTTGACAAATGACTTAATTTTATTTCAAAAGTTTAACGAAAATTGATTTATTTTACAGTATTTCGCATCATGAATCTACAACTTTTGAAGATCTTTACTTTCTTGATTTAAGACTTATGACATCCAACTGGATGGAGTTGTGGACTATTAGATCTCAGGATTAGTACTTTATACATTGGTTTCTGATGGGTGCATTCACATTTGGTCCGATGTGATGACTGGATTATTTACCTGCGGACAACAGTAAAGAATAGATACCACAGCTAAAGGACCTAGAATCAACCAATCGCATAGCTCAACATGGCCAAATGATTCTTTTCATAGCATCTGCTGTAAGTTTTCCCTTGATTTGGGGTTAGGGTTAGAGTAGGATACGGTTAGATCTAGATTAGCCTTAGGGTTAGGGTTGGGGTAAGGCTAGGGTGAAAACTGCAACGAAAATTATGGACAGCGTCCATTTGAAATGTTGAGCTCTGTGGTTATCATCATCAAGATATATTCACCACAAATTCTATCGAAGAGTTTGAGATACAGAAAAAAATGGATTAGAGTTGTATGTCCCATTAAAAATGGGGCCTGCTCTCGCAGCATGTTAGAGGCAGATACACAATATAATTCATTTTTATTATATATATATCCTGTGAATATACTTTTTATACTAAAATGCCACATCGGCTAGCCCAAGGTCATTTGGCTGTGATATCTATTCTTTACTCTTGATTACCTACATTTCCCAGTGAGTGGTGGAGTTCTCAATGAGACTCTAACACTGAACCCATCGCTTGAAACGCCAAAGCATTATCCAATACCCTACCAGGCCATCAGAACGACGTTTTTTACAGCAGCTATCAGCTGTAACTTGTTTAAGTTGATTTGAATTTCTGGGTTGATTGAATTCTACTTTACGGAAATACTTGGAGCTGATAGGTTTACTGAGACTGTGTATATCCGCCCAGCATAAACCTGTCACTCTGAAAAGGTACGGACTATAACTGAAAAAACTTTTGGACCAGAATGCCATAAATCTATAACATCTTAAAAGTCTGGTACGTTAGGTTTCGATTCGACAGTTATATTGTGAACTGAAAGCTGTGACACCTTAGACTTTCAAACTCAGTTTGAGTAACTGTAACAAAGGTGAAACAAGTATAGTGATTCTCTATCTCTTGTCACTGAAAAATAAAAACGCTATTTGCATCAGTACTTTTCCGCACAACCAGTTAATTCATTATGAAACTGTGTCAGAAAAACATTATTTTCGCATTACATTATTCTCAAACTAGTCTGATTTTTATATGCCAAGTGCAAGTTCGTTCTCTCATGTTATGCATACTAACTAATACCCCTTCCCTCCCCTTTACACACACACACACACATGCAGGCAAATATGCACACATGAGATATGCACCAGGATTGTATCATTTAAGATGCTAACATGATAACTTTTAACACTTAATGTATCATATTTTTAAATTATTTACAAATACTCATGTCACACTCTGTATTCATCTATTGAGCATGAAAGTAAGGCAGTTAGAAAAACAAACAAACAAACATAAGTTAGTGAATTAAAACAAAATGAAAATCTAATTAAATTGTAATAAGAATTATTCTCTAAAAAATGTTTAAGTTGTTTCACAATACACTTTATTATATGCGAAGAAAATAAACCTCTAAACAAAGAAATTTAGTCAATGAGAGTATATCACTTGTGTACACTGAGAAGTTCAGTGTCGCATTTGTAAAGTAAAATTGCGTAAGTGACGAGATGAGTATACACATTGGGGGACTGAAACCTTAACCGATAGTTGCAGCTCTGAATATCTGAAGTTTTAAAATTGTCTTGCTGATGAGAAATAATCACCAAGGATGAACGTTTAACTAGATAGTATGTCATTCTAATTATCTCCAAATGTTTATTGTTAGCTGTATTAAACCGAAGTGTTCTATCATTTAATCTGACGATAGTAGTGTTGGCTCCGGCATGTACTTCAAGAGTGAAAAGCGTAGTATCGTCCAATAATCTCTTAATACACATGTCAGGTGGTTCAAAATGGGAAGCTCAGTGAAGAAGCCTTTGAAGTGAAGATAGAAGTAAGACAAGGCTGCTGTCTACTGTCACCTATGATATTCCTGATTGTAGTGAACTGGTACATAAGGCAGACCATGATAAAAGAGAAGATAGCAATACCTTGATCCATGGACGATTGATTTTTTATTGTCACACAAATTCGAAGACCTGTAGACTAAAACCAATAAGTTCGCAGAAGAGATAGGCAACAAAGACAGAACTTCAAGTGGATACAGAGAAGATAGCGGTCATGAAGATACCTAACCAACAACAATAGGCACCGACCACAATCAGCGAGAGAAACTGAGGGTAAGTCACCTCTTTCACTTATCTAGACAGCATCGTTTCAACCAAAGGCGGCATGCCATGGACAGCAAGGAGTGGAAAGGCGAAATAGCGTTTTATTAATCTGAAATCAGTTTAGAAATCTACTGCACACAAAAGAAGAAGAATACGATTCGAAGTCGGTGCTTCTGCAAGTTCCAGAGACCTGGTATGTCATCAAAAGTATTTGTAACAGGCTACAGAATTTTTTGAACGTCTATGTTTAGTGTCTCACTGCTGAAGATCAGATGGCCCGACAGAAAGTACTAACAACAAGGGACCCTGCGAATGAACTAACCAAGAACTAATTGTCCAACAAAGTGGTTGAGGGAAATAAAGATGGTTCGGACTTACGCTGAGAGGACTGTTGAGTGAAATTACACGCTAGGTAAGTCATCGAGTCGAACCCAAATGGGAGGTGTCAGAGTGTGGCATGAAGCAGATTGTATGAGGAAGAGATGAGAACTTATGGAGAATCGCAGAGCCAGCCAAAGAGAACTGAAGAGAACAGGATGAAACGACTATGTGCTGTTGAAGCCCTATGTTCCACTTGAAACCTAAGGGAATAATAATATAATAATACTTCATATGTCTTTCGGGTGTTTTACAGTTAGAATTACTACATGAATGTAGTACTCTCAAGTGCCCGGCTTTGGTTACATCTTAGTAAATATTTCACTGCATAATTCAGTTGAAAGTATATTTATGAGAGGGATTTTCGCGATGATTAGATATCACCTAGTGAATTATTGATAACTAGGAAACATTAAACTGATTTTTAGGTCACTTTTGAAGTTCTTCATGTGATTATGGGAATAAAACCACTAGACACCAAGATAGACACATTACTATTTGTCCACGTCATTGGAGTTCAGCTAGTTATATTGAAATATTCAGAGAGAAATTATTACAGAACACTGATATTATACATTGACGAAGAAAAGTGAGGTGTGTCTAGCTTGGTTGAATGTTTTCTCCTTTTCATACCGGTAACTTGTTCAGTACACGATTCGAAATGAAAACGATTAGAGAAAGGCTTATTCCTCTGACATAAACTGTATTCACCATCACTTATGAATAATTTGTTAATCTTACAGTGAACTGCATCATAAACATAACATATGAATACACTTAATTAGGTCACTCACCTGTTTCACTGTAACGTTGAAGAATTTTACTCACACAACCATGTGATACTTTAAGTTGTCTTGATATATCGCATGGACGAATACCATTACTAGATAATTCGACTATTTTTAGACGTGTTTCATACGGTAATGGTCTACCATTGATAAACATACCACCCAACTGGTTGACTCTTCCTTGACCTTCATTAGAATAAAATATTTTAAAAACAAAACAAATGGATTAGTGTAAGGCGAATAGATGAAATTTTAGAAAATGCTATTGGAAACATATTCACCTCCTGCTACTCGGTATACATCAATCTAAAATAGTGATACTATAGTCTCAATGTGTAGGCTGGAACTTAATTGAGGGGCGTACTGTTCTTTAAAACTGCTTCACACCGTAACAGAAATCATCGCATTTTTCAGCTTCTGTATACGATGAAACCATTTTAAGTGTAAAGCATCGCAAATAATTCAGAGACAATTTCGAAGTTAACTTTGGTTAGTCACATAAGGTTACCGAAAATAACTATAAATTCCAAATCAAGGCAAAGAACAGCTTAGCGCTGTTCATAAGTTTGCCTTGCTAAACATGAACATCATTCATATCTGCAAGAAGTTCCCTTTTACCAGATTTTAAGGTTTTGTGGTAGGTTTTATTACGAGCCGATGCCATTTACTGAAATACTCAGAAATCTAAGAGGTACTGCAAGGCTCTTTCATACCGGTTTGCAAGTTTTCATCAGTGGAAATCTAGAACCCATCAAATGATCATTCATTTTATCAAATTTAGTGAAAACTGGTTGCTAAGTGTTCTTTTATTTATTTTTAGGTTAATTTACATTTCTCATTGATTGATTATGTTGAACCGAAGTGTTAGGTCTCGGTTGACATACTGGCGTCTAAGTACGGACGCTCTAGCGATGCCCCAGGATTGATGTGAAGTTATTTTAGTTGATGATGACTAGCGGTAGAGTTCACGATACGCATTTCATCTTACTTTGAACTTGTCACCCGAATGTACTTCCATTCCTAGTGAGTGGTAGTGTGGCCTAGTAGATAAAGCCTTGGTGTTTGAAACAATGGTTACCGGGTTCCAGTTTCAAGAGAAACACCATCACTCTTTAAGAATGCAGGTACATCCGGATGATAAGTACCAAATGGGTAGAAGTGCGCATCCTGGATTTCACTGGTAGTCACCATCACTTAAAAGTGAGTTGTGTCTGATACTTTTTAATGTGTTTACTTATCACATGAAACGATAAAATGATTTTAAGCCTTCCTAAAATTGTTATACATGATTACTCAGTAAAAAAAAGGAACAAAGGATAAGTCAACAAATATATTACATCCTACTTTCTTGATGTATTTTCAAGGAAACTAATGGTAGTTTTTAGACAGCTTTTCATACATTTACAACAGATTTCATCACTTATAATGGTGTGCAGTTATGATGACTTCCATAACGAATGTACATAAACTATCAAGTATGATCCTTGTATAACTTGTAAATCGAATAGTAGAGAATTATAGCTTTCTATAAGAATGAAAACTATTTCCTATTTTCTTGGTTACACTTGGTTATATTGGAGCGTGCGTCTTTTAATTCCAGATAAAAGAGATATATTGGGTGTGGTTGTCTTCTCTGAGCAGGATTGTTTAGTTGAGGAGCTTTCATTCTCTTTTGTTTGACAACATCCTCAGCGCATACTTAAGTTTGAAGTGAGCTTTTAGCTTCGCAACTAAACCATTTAGCTCAGAGAACACAATCACATAAAAATCATCCATCTGAGCTACGAATCTTCTCCATTATATCTACAGGAGAGATAAAGAGAGGTGTACACCATAACCCACAGTAGGCACACTACACCTCTGCCAACAAAGAATAACAATAAATTTAAAATGTCAACCTTTAAATATGCTGATAGCTTTAATTTTGCAGACTATAAATGAAATGCTGTTCTGATGATTGGAAATGAAACAGAAACCCAAGTTGTTACAGCAGAATGCCAACCAGTGGTCTCTGATGTTGACCCATTTCTCAGCATAAGTCTTTGTTTTAAATCTGTTCAAGAGTCTGTTATATTTTATTAACCACCAAGACAACCTCCAAAGTATTTCTATAACTTATCCATCATGCATCCAATGATCAAATATCATCAATAAAAATTTCAAATATGAATTTGACTATTTTTTGTAATTCTTACAGAAAATACATACAGCGCTGTGTAGTCATTTTAGCCTATTTACAGGTGTCTGGATTAGAGTTATTGCAATCAAACATTTCACCTTCAGACAATTTCAAATCAGCAGCAAATCCCACAAAATGCGAATCTCAGTCTTCAGAACTGGATGATATGGATTCGAGTCTCATAGACGGCTTAAAATCCAACTCCATAAACGAAATCTAGGTCATATAATATACTACGTACCATGCGGAGTCAAAATACTTTATTTATATTTTACACAACTGATCTTATTATCGGTGGATGGTGGCTAGCAGTGGAATCCAGGATGCGTATTTCGTCCTATTTGAGACTCGTCAGCTGGATGTGCCTGCATTTCTCAGTGAGTGATGATGTTCCCACTGAGGCTTGAACCCACTGCCCATAGTTTCAAACGCCAAAGCGTTATCCACTAGACCACTTGGGCCACGAGAGCCACCTCTTATGCAACGGGTCATATTAATTATTGAATTGAATTTTTGATTTTCCCGTCGATTGATTGGACCGAAGTGCTCGGTCTCAGGTTGACATGTCGGCTTCTTGTGCAGATGCTTCGACGATATCTGCACAAGAAGCCGACATGTCAACCTGAGACCGAGCACTTCAGTCCAATCAATCGACGGGAAAATCAAAAAATTCAATTCAATGATCTTATTATTATTCTCAGCATGAACATTGAATAAAAATTAATTTTTATGTACTAATCAACTTGTTGCAGAAATAAATACCAACAGTGGTAATTAACTTACCTTCAAACAGAATAGGTGGATATTTCGATGAAGAATATAAATGAGTATTGGCATCAATACATTTAGTTAAAGTTGTTGAGACTGTGGCGCATGATGTTGTTAGATGTTTCAATGAATTTTGTTTTTCATCTGTATTCAATGATAACGACGATGATGATAATGATGTTTCACTAAGTTTTGTTTTATCCAGTAACATATTATTACTCATTGATGTATTCTGTTGAGAATGAAGTAGTTTTTGCGCATTTTGTAAACCATAATAATAGTAATAATAGTAGTATTGCGATGTTAAATTATTAGGATTAATTAAAGCAGACTGCATCTTATTTTCTGGCAGACTCTCTATACAGTCAGTTGTTTTATTCAATTTATTCAAACTGTTTATAGATGAATTTGTAGCATTACTTTCTGTTGTGAGGAGTGGTGAAGAACATTGTGTATTCACTGGTGTTCTAGTCGTTGTTTCAGTTAGTCCAAGATAATTCTGATTAAATTTTGATAGATTGGGAAAGTGGTGTAAATCTGTTGTGCTATGATGTAATTGATTCATAATATACAACCATTCTTTATAGGCTGTTGAAGCAAAATCATAATTGAATATTGAATGTGATGAGGAACTTGGTGTTTGTTGTAATGAAGTGCCAATATTAGTACTACTACTACTCGTAGAAGTGTTAATAATCGAAGATGGTGAACAAGTTGTTGTGTCTGAAGATGACGCAGTAATACTTGTACGGTATGAATTAAATAGTGTCTCAGTGGTCTTCTTTGACAGATCTCTGGTATCCGCCATTTTTCTTTCGATGAAGACTTCAGTAGCGATGATCTTAATGACGTTGATAATAACAAACAACAAGAGTGACGATGATTGCTATCTGCAAAAACAAATTAACAAACTTTTTAAATAACAAACTGGTTTGTTTTAGTTAGGAAATGTTAGCTAAAACTACAAATTTAATTTCCCGTATGTAACATGACTGTATTGCTTTGCACACTGTTACTGAGTATAGGCTAACCTCCATACTAACTATCACAAACAAAAAGATACTTCATCTACTCAACTAATGTACTATATAAAACAACACCAGTTTTCATAATTGTTGTAATAATTACTAGGAAATAGAACTAGCGTCTACAAATATATTCGTTTGAGATCCATGCCATAGAGTGATTTTTTTAGGAGACCAAGTTTCTTGAATTCCAGAAAGAGAGAGTAATAATGAGTTGTAACTTCATATAACTGTAAAATATTGGGATGTAGAAGTTGAAATGAATTAAAGGTAAATTTTTTCGCGAAAACCAGACAGCACTGAATAACTGTTTCCACCTACTTTGGGATCCTTCAACAATGCACACCCACGATTCCATCATGCATCAAACCTACCATCTTCAGGTTACGAGGCCAGCCAATTGATCATTCAGCCATCAAACTGAAATTCAGTAATCTTTGAATTCTAACTTCTGTCAGTTCAGATGATATGGTATCACTGCCATCTAATATCACTGGTGAGTATCTATCCTCACATACAACATGGCTGGCCCCGTTGGTTACGTCTCTAACAAGTTTATCCTCTGATCATGAATTGATGAACGAACTTATAGAAGTTGGAATGCATACACCATTATATTCCTAACCAGTAATTGAATAATGTATTATCCCTGTAACCTGAGGGTTCTTAGTTCATTATGAAATCTGTGAATCTACTCATAATTAGAGCATATTTCGTTCCTTCATTTATAAGTGGAGAATAAACAGTCTGTCCTCGTTTTTAAAACACTGTTAACTTTATAAGTTATCACGAAATTTTCTAGGAAAGACAAGCGTTGTATGGATGACTTCACTTTCTTTCGGTTCTAATATGAACTGAAACTAAATCAAATATCCTAGTTATGTATTCAGACACAAGTGCAGACTAGAGAGATTAGTGATAAGTCCAATATATTATTTAAGTGAATTACTTTTTTTAGAATGTGTATACTACAATACAACACTTGAAAATTAAACCACTGCTCATTACTGACTGACTATGGGAAGGATGTCCTAGTGTTTTAATAAGAAACCTGTACTGAGAGAGCTATCATGTTAGTTGTGAACATAGATATCCACCAATGACATCGGATGACGAAGGCATTATATTGCTCGAAATGAGAGAAGTTAGAATTTAAAGTTTACTGGATATCAGTCTAGTAGACGAACAATCAACAGGCTTGCCTAGTAACCTGAAGATATTGGGTTCCATTCCCGATGGGACAATGGACATGCACTGCTGGAGAGTCTCTGAGTAGGAGGAAACAGGGGTCTAGAGCTTTATAGTTTGCACTGGTTTTCTAATTGATTTTGGTTCATGACGAATCCCACTTTGAAACCAATCGAGCACCTTAAAATGAATTTATCCTATAAATTTATGATTTTTCTTGAATGAACGAATCATGATGCCGTACAAAAAGCGTCCATTACTAAGAATAACACTTCCAATTCTTGGAATAAGCCATAATAATGCTAGTAACAAATTAGCAAAGTGACTGGGTAAAAAAAGAGATATTAATATCTTGTCGGTAGCTGAATCTTTTAGTTCATAGACAACTGGTTCAAAGCCTATCGTGACTCGAAGTTTGGAAGTCTAGTAACCACCTGTCACATCATTGATTCAAACATGCTATGGAGACTACCATAATTACAGTAATTGTCGGATTCACGTTAATTTAAAACTCCCCCTAAGTACTCGATGTTTCACGCATAATAAAATTCCTATTTAAAGTGAATTAATCTGAATATAAGACAAATCATATGAGAATTTAGTATCAACGGGAGTTTTAAGAAAAAAAACAAAGCAATAATTAGTGTTAATTTGAAATGAGTGTTGAACAGTGAAACAATTTCTAACTACTTTTATCTGGCTTTGAAGGTTCAATAGACCACGTTATTTGGCTTCACTAACTTGAGTCCATTAATGCATCAGTTTTGAAAAAAAAAATGATCAAAAGAATTACTCGGGCTTTAATACCAGTTAACAACTGCAGACAGTTTATGAGTTCTTCAAAAAAGCTTACGACATTAATTAAAATGTGGCTCTTAGTGCTGATAAACAACATAAACAATAGTGTTAACACTTAATCAAATATCCTTGTGGTGCGGTCTCTGAATTCGAAATCGAACAACAGACAATCAGGACCATTTGAATTCTAGACTAAGAATGAACCCAAGTCAAGACTGACTGGTCTTAGTATCCCACATCTGGATAAAGTATACCCTAGTGTACAGAAACGCTGTTACTAGAGATACTGACATAATTACGCTTTTGAATGACAGATTTCTGCCAGCAATTAAGATCAGACATGCAGTCACTACTGAATAAGAGTTACTGGTAACTTATATTAAAAACTTCTGGATTTCTGACGTGCATATGCTACTTCTAAACTCATTTTGATAGTTATAAGAATTATCTTTTAGAAGTCATACATTAACACACTTGTATGAAACAACCTAGAGTAAGTTATAATCAACGCAGTTGAAAATGGATCAGCAATTCAGTGGTAAAACACTCATCAACCACTCATATAGTTCGTATTCGATTCCCGGTCGACACTTTTCCATACCTTGTCTGGCTGACAATGGGGCTAGAACCCCGACTTCTCAGAAACAGCACCGCCGTTACTGTAACTTCACAGACCAAGATTGAAGCCCTATGTTCCACTCGGAATAGAAAGGAATGAAAAGAATTATTGAAGCTGTCATAGTATTCAATAGTACCGTAAGAATGAAGATACAAATTTGAATTAATTCATAATGAAAATAATATGTTTACCTTGAGTTATTCCCAGTGCAATTAGTAGTTATTTAATCCCGTCAACGGAAAGTGAAAAAAAATAAGTGCAGCTGTGTTTTGCAAGTGGAACTCCTTCAGCGTCTGTTATCACTACTATATGGTAATGACAAACAATATACAATTCATTAAATCGAATGATTTAAAACATTGAGAGAGGAGAGAGGTGGTGGTGGTGATGATTACAACAAAAATGTATCCTTCAGTGTAACACTTAACTCCTACCCCTATCCCCTTCTGTCACACTCACTACCTTTAATTGTGTCAACGTCCTATGACACATTTCCGTAATGGTCACACATATACATCTAATTTTAATATTTTGATTGGCTAATAAATTCTCATCTTTATTTAATAAGGGATGAGAAATGATTGGATAGAATGAAAAAGAAGAGAAGAAAATTTTTGGTTTTTGTGTCACAGATGGGTATGAAATCAGTATAAACAATTGTGGAAGTTGATTCGCGGAGTCATAACACCTGAAATCACATCTGTATACAAAACTAGAACACTTTAATCCACCTTGTGCCAATGAAAATTCATGTTTTGAAGATTACTGAAATTTGAATATATAAATGCAGCAGCAGATTTAACGACCTGGAAACCTATAAATAAATAAATAAATGATTTAAACATTTGGGTTCTGAGTTTTTGTAGGGATTTGAATTATCCTCATTGTAGATTTCGTCATTGACCAGCATCAGTTACAGAGCATTGTAAACTGGGGTGTACTTGCAGTTGCTTCGTTCTAGTTTGAGACTCTTCATCAGGATCGAGTCTGACAGATTCGGGTTACGAATCCGACCTCAATGCCCATCCAGTCACCTGGGCCTGAATTTAAAAACCTGCTAATTCTAACTTTATCTATTAGTGAAATAGCGCTATCTATAAAGAATGCCTTCGATGAGCATCCATTTCACTGTGGCATGGTGGGCCCCAGTGGTTCACTCCTGAGAAGTTTCAGACTGTCTAGTATTAATGATCTCCAGCTGGTGATGATTCGTTGCGAAGTCTACACTGAAATTTAAAAATTCGTTTTCCCTTTGTAAAGCACCTTTTAAAAAAGTGTAATTCTGTCTTTTACAATTAATTAGTCTGGGTATTTAGTGTAAATGATTGAGATTACTTGCTTGGTGGTGGCTTTCAGTGAAATTCAACACTTACGTTTCAGTTTGTTCGATGAATGTATTTGGACAAATGACCGGGACTCGAACCCAGCACTCATATCGAATTTTCATGGGGACATCACCATTCACTGTGATGCAGATGTATCCATCTGACTTGTGTCAAACGGGAAGAAAATTACGTTTTCGTTTCCACTGTAAGCCACATGTAACTTCAAGTTAGAAATGATATCGAGGAGTCCGTTCGGAGAGCTCAGGTGCTGAAATCAACCTGATAAGTTCGGTTTACAAGGGTAAACAAATAATATCGTAAATATTTGGTGTTGTTAAGAAAAGGAAGAAGCAATCGCGGCTTGATTCTTCTATTCACATGAATACTTAAACGAAAATCTAGTGTCTGAAGTGGAAACTTAACTGGGTTGTTTGTCTTACTAGATAAAAATAGTCTACACCGAGCCTGGCATAACTATGTAGT